CTACTTGCTACACATTTTATTGTAAGTAAGTTACAAGAATTTGATGTTAGATCAAGGTAACAACTTGTACTTGATAAGTTTAAGTATTCTCATTACCTGTTCGCTGGATAATGTATGGATATTTTAGAGAGAAATTAGTTTTAAATCGTTCCTGGGAGTTAAAAGGTTAAAGCCAGGAGAAATCGACGCTGTTACAAATTTTCGTTTTCCATCCACTCAATAGCCGATGATAAACAAAAATTTCCCTTCCCTCTTAAATACTTGCTCCTGGTTTCTTTTCATCCTGAGAAAAAAAACGTGACGCCCCAAATGTGACGCTATACTATTTCATCGTGCGGGATCATAAAGCTTTTAACTTCTAACGAAAGAGCTGGAAGTTTATTCCCTTCACTCATGATCATGATTATTTGTTGTTTATTCGTGACTATCTTACCATCAGTTAGTACCATGTACCTGCTTGCTTTAAACTTTCTTCAAATTACACATTAATAGGGGAGTTCAGAAGTTGACTGTTTATTGATATGAGCACTGCATACTATTCCAACACGCTATTTTAGCCACTTAAATTACATGCACCTTCAACCTTCCTCTAAATTATTATAAACCAAGAAAGAACTATCTCTCGATCAGCATGGTCACGCGAGAAGTGAGCTGTCGCAGTAAAATTCGGTCATTTAAGATGAAAGTTCTATGCCATATCATCGGAAAAAGTAAATTAGGTAAAATGCTGTAATTGCATGGTCACAACAAGTTACTCAAAAGCTATTTTCGTTTAGTTTTGTTTTTTCCTTTTTTGCAAACAAGCCTAGTTAATTGTCAGACTTGTGCAAACGAAAGCAATAACGATGAAAATCTTTCTTATTGCTCACCTTGTCACAGTGATGTTCACGGCAATAAAAGTTACCCTTCAAAATGAAAAGAGATAAATTGAAATGAAAATACTGCATGATATCTGCCTGCAACGTGATCCATTTATTAACATTAGTGCAAACAGATGCTTTATCACTCTATGCCCGTAAAAGTGTGTTCTAATTAATGCAAGAAAAATTTACTCCACGG